TTTTAAAAAAAGTAAATTATAAGCAAATTTATAGCAATTTTCCAGGCAAATTTGCCTGGAATTGCCTACAGTTTAAGAGATAAAAATAGAATATTACAGGATGTCAAAATCTTTTCAACTCTTTATTTACAAGTTTTTTATACCATTGCTTAATATAGGTTAGATCTTGCAAACTTCTAAGCTAAGAACAAGGAAATAATTCTTTGGAATTTTCTAATATTTGCTTAGAAAAGATATTTTCTTCGATGATTTGATTAATATAATTCATATCTTCAATATGATGTTTATTAATCTCATCAATACCAAGAAATTCACCAGCAGGATCTAAATAACGATAATCACTAAATCCCCAATATCCAACTTGATCTTGCAACAATTCAACTCCATTATCAGTCCAACGTGCTAATGTACGATTCTCAATATATTCGGAATTACAAAAATAGCATATCTTATCATATTCTTGAAAATCACATCAACAAGTTTTTTGTAAATTTTGCAATAATTCTATCGCTTTTGAGTGTAGATAAGAATTTTGTTCGGAGTTGCCATTCATAAATTTTGAAAAATTTATTGCTGTATATCCAAATATTGATTTAACTGATTTTATGCTTTGCTGAGTTTTAAATTGAAGATGGAATTAACCTGATTCTGTAGACTTGTATTAACCAGATCTAAAAGAAAGACTTTTGGCTTTTAAAGAATCAAATAATGTTTGGGATTTAGGAATTAGGGGAGGGCCATTTATTAGCTGATATTTTGCTACTAAGTGGCTACCCCTACCTGATCATAAATACTGCAATTTGATTGGTTAAAAGTTTTAAAAATTTAAAAATTTTTAAACTTTAATATTAAATAAAATTTGAACTAGTGATCCGTTCTGGATGATTTTACTACCAAAATGTTCGTCTCAATGAGACGATTCCAACAAGCCTAAAATAATCAAAATCCAATCACTGGATCCCAAGATCGTTATAAATTTGTATTGCTTTAATTATATTAATTTTGTATATATTAA